CTGTGCTGGGACCCCTTGCCGGCGCCTGCGGCGCCGCCCCTGGCGCGCTCCACGCGCCAGGGAGGGGGCTCCAGCTCAGATCCAAGAAACCCGCGCGGACTGCCAAACAATCCATGTTTATGCAGTTTGTTCCTCTTTTTCTTCGATCTTGGGAGCTTTGTGCAGTCAACACTGATACGTAGGAGGGATGAGCGGCTTTCCAAGGTTGCACCCTTGCATCCTTCCCCTTCGGTCCATCCTCGGCCACTCTCGCTGGCCGCGCCCCGCTCGAACTGTGTGCCCTAGCATCTCCCTCTTTGGAGTGCATCGGCGTCGATTAGCGTGTGGTCATCGATGAGACAGCGCCGATGTAGCGTCGACTAGCATCGATCTTTAGCGTCGCGTGGAGTCGATTCGCAAGAGCCTGCAAGGTGGCACGGTAGGCTCCCGTGACTTGCCGCCGCCGAAGGCTTCACAGGTGCTCCCATACTGGCCCCTCGATGTAGCCCGCCGCAGTACCCACTGGTGACCTCCCGCCCCTCCTCGGTTCCCCCCCCCGCGGTAGCGGCGTGGCCCCGGCATAGCAGGGGGGGGGAGGCGGGGCGGGGCGGCCCTCCTCGGAGAAGAAACATACCACAAACAGAACAACTTTTGGCGCTCCGCGCGGACTTCTTGGATCCGCGCTGGGCCTTCCCGGCGGCGCCTCCGGCGCGGCCCAACGCAGAACCAACAAACCCACGCGGACCGCTAAAAGTTTGTGTGTTACGCCGTTTTTCCTCCTCTAAGCTTGAGTCGGGCGTGTCCCTCTACAGAAGGAGTGCTCATGTTTTGGATTTTTTTGGTACTTCTGATTTTTATTCCAAACTCCGCCTGCAGGAGGACATGCCCGACCCAACTCTAACCTCTGACTGTTGGCCCAGGACGGGCCGACGGCGGCTCGCGAGGCCCTGGCCTGGCCCCACCCCTCCCGTGGGGGTGCGCGGAGCGGCCTCGCAGGCCAGAAGCGCGCGGCTGCCCTCCCTGGGAGGGCCTGTAGCATGCCGTGGGCGAGAGACGCACGTCAGGAGGGGAAAAAACACACAGACACAACCAATCGTCGATTCCCATGAAGACATGCGAAAAGATGGGAAGTGGGGGGGAAGACAGAAACCCAGGATATATGTGAAAACGTAGGGAATCCTGGGATTTGTTTGTATTTATTTGTGTGTCCCTGGGCTCCTTTCATACAGAGGGGGCCCATGCCAAGAAACGCCCTGCTCGCCTCCAGGGTGCCCTTGGTTCCTTGGGTTTTGATGGTTCTGCTATGGACAGTGTGGTGCTCCCACGCCAAAAGCGAAAGTGGACGTCCTGGGGTTTCAGGGTTGGGTTTCTTGTGGAAGGTTTCTCGTGGTCGGGCTCGCAGGCTGGAAGCGCGGCTGCTCTCCGGGAGGGCCTGCAGCATGCCGTGGGCGAGAGACATCTATCCGCATCCGCGGCCTCGCGGGCCGGACCCCTCGGCTGCGACCTTGCGGAGACCCAGACCCCCTCGAGCCCCGAAAAAATCATTACGGGAGTTTTTTTTTTTTTTTTTGTTTTGCAATTTCCGGCCTCTGGGGTCCCTTGCCGGGCCTCGGGACCGTCAACAAAAACGTTGCAGGATGAAAAACCGGTCCTGGGGTACAGTCGGCCCGGATTAGTAGGTCGACCCTGCCAAATCAAGGGTACTTTTGTGTCCTGTGTCTCGCGACCCATGCCTCCTGCATTCCTGTGGCAATGTGACCCTTGGAAGGGTCTTGTGTCCTCTCGCGTGTCCTGCCCAATCGAGTCCGACTGTATGGGTCCGGACCTCTGGGGGTCGCGTCATCAAAAAATCATGACGTCGGGGGTCTGGGGACGGGGCGTGCTTTCGCGGATGCCCCGCGCAGAACGCACCCGTGCGACCGCGTGTCCGCGGGATCGCGCCCTGGAATCCAGGCCGCGAGGGCGCGGATACGGTTAGGTCGGGCATGTCCCCCTACAGGCGGAGCTTGGACGAAAAGTTACAGATACTCAAGAAATATTCAGCAATTGTCAAAAATAGTTTCAACAACGTTCCCATATAATGTTGTTGACTATTTTTGAATATTCCTCCTGTAGAGGGACGTGCCCGACTTGAGGATACGGATATGCTCGCCGCTCGTACACATGAGGTGGAGTCTGGCCATGATCCCAGGCCAGACTGGACGTGCGGTGTCCTGACTTTTTCAGTGCGGGGTCGCTGGAAGTCCCGACCCTTTCCCTGTGCCAGCTTCTGACGGTCCTGGGGTCTGGAGGGGGCCACTGAGGCCGAGAACTGCCGAAAGCTTCCCACATGCCTCTTTTCACGGCGCGAGCATGTCTGGGAGCAACGCCCTCATGTTCTACTGAGGGGGCCGAGCTGATGACCCTCCTGTCCCCTCGGCACCCGCCTTTCTTCCGACCCGAGTAATCCTCGTTGCCTGGGCTTCGGGTCATATTTCGGTTCTCCCGCGGCCGCTTGGAGCGATCCGGGCATCCCTGGAACGCTCTCGGCGAGGCGCAGCCGTTGGCAAGCATCCTGAGGCCCGAAGCCCGCCGAGTACCGACGAGGGCGTCCAAGAACCAATGAGAGCCGTGTCGAACCCCAAGCCTTTTCCCCTTCTCGGCGGCGAGTCCAGGGGGGAATGCAGAGGGGGCGGGCCTTCTCAGAAGGCTCGGAAGGCCCTCGGGCCTTTTGAGAAGCTTGCAGAGCCTTCTCCGAAGATGGAGACGGCTTCCCAGAAGTCTGGAGGGCTTCCGAGAAGCCCCGCCGCCTTCTGAGAAGTTCTGTCCCTGTCACTTCCCCCCTGGGCTCGTCCCCGACTTCCTCTCACGGTCGCGAATTTTTGGACTGCGTGTCGCTCCGCCGATTTTGGCCACCCAGTCCTTGGTCGGGGAAACGTAAGACTCGAGTACGCCAGAACTCGGGTTTGCCGACATCCTTTGACGAGCGCGTCCTAGATTTCGACGGCCCAGTTTTCGTAGGGTATCTGCAGCGGGAGCTCGCACCAAACTTCAGAGGGAGTCGCGCCATTTTCATAATGGCCCCGTCATTCACGGGCGAAGAGCGGTAGAGCATCCACTTTTTCGCTGTCGGGGGCGCCTGTCCCAGGGCAGCTGAGAAGTCTCTGCCCTCAAGGCGGCACGCCAGGGTACAAACTTTCCAGCCGCCCCGGGACAGGCGCCCCCGTTGACGGAACAGCTTTTTCTGTCATACCGCTCGTCGCGCCCGCGAGCGTCGGGCCAACCTGGGCCCCCCTGGCCCGAGTCTTACGTCTCGCCGACTGGGAGCGGCACGTGACCCACCCGCGGCCCCGAGTCGCGCCAGCGCCCCGCCGCGCCTGGCCGCGCCCCGCGCGGACCCCGCGGAGCAGAAGCGGCACGCCTTGCTCGCTCGCGCGGCACAGAGCGTGCCGCCGGGGCCGCCGCGGCGACGAGCGGTCCACAAGCTCTCGATCTTACAGCGGAAACCCATGTCAAGAAACACCCTGCCAGGAGGAGGAGGAGGAGGAGGAGGAGGAGGAGGAGGAGGGGGAGGAGGAGGAGGAGGAGGAGGAGGAGGAGGAGGAGGAGGAGAAGAAGGGTGAGGAGGAGGACGCTGGTGCCCTGGATTTCTTGGGCTTCGATGGCTTTGCCGAAGAGAGTGCGACGCTCCCGCACCGAAAACCAGTGTTGTGGACGTCCTGGGGTCTCAGGGTTGGGTTTCTTGTGGAAGATTTCCTGTGGTCGAGCTCCTACTGCAGCACCCCCCCTCCGCCACGCGCAGAGGGGAGCAGTGGAGGGGGGGACGGCTGCTCAGAAGCACTCCTGCTTCCCAGAAGCCTTCCCCCCTCTCCCTGCCCGCTTGAGCGCGCCGCCAACTGGCGGGCTTTTTTCGTCGGTTCTCGGCGGTCTTCCAGCCTCGGGGTGCCAGCCGGCAGCTGCGCCTCGCCGTCGAGGAATGGCTGGCGCCTTCTAAGAAGCAGCCTCCTTCCAGAAAGCCTTCCCCCCTCGCCCTGCCCCTCTGTGCGCGGCGCCAAGTGAGCGGCGAAAACAAAGGGGGTCATCTGCGCCGGCACTGGCGCGCACGCTGCTCGCGCAAGGTCGCGCGCAAGCGCCCATCGTCTCCCAGGCAGCGTGCCGCGGCGGCGGCACGCGTGAGCCACCGCGCAGTGTCGCTGCGTCATCTCGCGTAAGGCCCGTTCTTGATCGTCGCCCACAGCGATGTTGCAGGCATAGCATTTGAGCCACCCAAAAGAGGAGCGTCGAGCAGGGGTGCTTCACGGGCGGCTCGCGCCCGGACTGCGGGCACGTCTCGGGCGAAGCCTTTGTGTCGGCGAAATAGCCCCTCCTCTTCCTGACTGACTGAGTCATGGCTGATGAATCTCTTCCTCCTCCCCCTCCTCCTCCTCCTCCTCCTCCTCCTCCTCCTCCTCCTCCTCCTCCTCCCCCTGCTCCTCCTCCTCCTCCTCCTGCTCCTCCTCTCCTCCTCCCTCTCCCCCTCCTCCTCCTCTCCTCCTCCTCCTCCTCCTCCTCCTCCTCCTCCTCCTCCTCCTCCTCCTCCTCGTCACCGCCAAGTGTCTGCGCGGCCCCTCGGGGCCATCTTGGAGGCCGCACTGGAGGCCTCCTCCAGGCGGGCACCTCGAGGCAGCCGACGGGCGGCCGGGAGGCACGCTCGGGGCGCGCGCGCGCGCGCCCGAGGGCGCGAGGCGTCGCGCCGAGCTCGCGCCGGCTCGGCCCCTCGAGCCTCGAGGCCTCGAATCCTCGATGCCTCGGTCGTCTCGAGTCCTCGAGCACCCTCGACTCCTCGACTCCTCGACCCTCCTCGAAAGTCTTCCCTGGGATCCTCCTCCTCGATCCTCGATCCTCGATCATCGATCCTCCTCGATCCTCGATCCTCGATCCTCCATCCTCCTCGATCCCCCCCGATCCTCCTTCTCGATCCTCGATCCTCCCCACCAGCCCCCTCCTCGTCCCGCCCGACCTTCGCTGGGGCACAGCACCCCCCGCGGCCGGGGCGGCCGCAGTTTCCGCTGAACCTGGCCGACTATCTGCACCGCGTGGGCCGCACGGCGCGCGGCGGCAGAGCCGGGCGCGTGACCACGATCACGCCCAGGAGGTGCGCCGGAGCCAGGAGGCGAAGGAGAGAGAGAGAGAGAGAGAGAGAGAAGCAGGAGGAGGAGGAGGAGGAGGAGGAGGAGGAGGAGGAGGAGGAGGAGGAGGAGGAGGAGGAGGAGGAGGAGGAGGAGGAGGAGGAGGAGGAGGAGGAGGAGGAGGAGGAGGAGGAGGAGGAGGAGGAGGAGGAGGAGGAGGAGGAGGAGGAGGAGGAGGAGGAGGAGGAGGAGGAGGAGGAGGAGGAGGAGGAGGAGGATGGGGGAGGAGGAGGAGGAGGAGGAGGAGGAGGAGGAGGAGGAGGAGGAGGAGGAGGAGGAGGAGGAGGAGGAGAGGAGGAGGAGGAGGAGGAGGAGGAGAGGGAGAGAGATAGAGAGAGAGAGAGAGAGAGAGAGAGCGATAGGCAGCCTGGGGAGGTCCTCGAGCTCGGAGCATCATGAAGAAGCAGCTCGCCCTCGATCCGTGGAGCTCTTCTGCAACTCTGTGAAGACGGGTGCGCGCGGCGCTGAGGCAAGAGCCAGACTTTGAACACGGACCGCCCTCCGCCTGTGAGACGGCTGCCAGTTGTAAGCTTCAGGCTCGTAAATGGTAGGGAAGTCTCAGTCGACAAAAAGCTCGGCCCGCCTTTGGACTGGCCTCGGGGCGTTGGGGAACGGAGGAGGAGGAGGAGGAGGAGGAGGAGGAGGAGGAGGAGGAGGAAGAGGAGGATGAGGAGGAGGAGGAGGAGGAGGAGGAGGAGGAGGAGGAGGAGGAGGAGGAGGAGGAGGAGGAGCATGAGGGTTCAGCGGGGGGGGAGGAGGGGAATGTCTCCAGACCCCGTTGCGTCGCGAACAACCTCGGGACGGACGGTCTTTTGTGCGATTCGGCCTCTGGCGGCCCTCATTGGGCCCACGGGCCGTCAACGACAAACGACTCGGCCAGAGCGTAAACTCATGGATTTAACCATGATGAAAACCACATTTTTCGGCCACAGCTTTCGACAGCAGGCGTCCAGATACTTGCCACGAGGTGTGAAGGCGCCCCGTAATGCTTCAGACAGCTTTCGTGCCGCTGGCGATGCGATACGATGAGAAGCCCGTTTCGGGGAATGGGCGAGACCTTTGGGGGCTCACCGGTGGGTAGACAAAAAGTGTCCACACCCATCGCGCCAAGATGATGCGACATCGAACTGCGTCGAACAAATGTCCATCGCCCCCGTCCCCCCCAACCCAAAGTTGACGGGGTTGGGTGCGAGGCATCGCGCGGGGGACAAACTATGGACGCTTCAACTTTGGGTTGGGGGTGAGGGGGGGAGAGAGCCACATGGAAACTGCAGTTGTCGTTGCCGTCATGCGTGGTTTTCTTCGCGCCGTCGGCGTGCACACTTTTTGTCCGGACGCCGACGCCACGAAAACGAGAAAATCGTTGTCGGGGTCTGGAGATAATCAGTGAGGGGCCTGTTTTCTACCACCACCACCACCTTAAGCTGTAGGGGGACGATGTCCTCCTCCTCCTCCTCCTCTTCGTCCTCCTCCTCGTCCTCCTCCTTCCCCCCATCCAACTTATGGTGGTGGTGGTGGTGGTGGTGGTGGTGGTGGTGGTCGAAAACATGCCCATCAACCAAGGGTGGTGCGCGTGCAGCCATCCCTGTGGCTCTTCGAGAGCCTTCGAGGCGGGCCAGCGCTCGCGGCACGGGCTGGCCTTGCGGCCCCTGGGGGGGGGGGGGGGGGGGGCGTGCTCGTGCACGTGGCCGGGCGCGTGCGTCCCCTGTGGGCTCCCTGGTGCAGCTGGGTGTGGCAGTGCGACGCAAACGTCCCGACGAAACCCCTCCAGGAGGGGTTCTTGGATCCTGGAAGGGGGGGGGCTCGCTCACAAAAAAAAACGCAACTTCAGGACGTTCCACAAAGACCCATCCAGGAGGGCTTTTTTTGACCCTGGAGAAAGGGTTGTTAGGTCGGGCGTGTCCCCCTCCAGGCGGATCTTGGACGAAATGTAAAACATAGCCAAAGCACATGCAACAACCACCCCGAAGTAGTCGAGAAATCGTCCTCAGACTATTTTTTGACTGTTTCTGAAGATTCCTCCTGTCGAGGGACAGGCCCGACTTCAAGGAAGGGTTCGGGCGAGAGGGGGCGCTCCCCCTTGGAAGGGGGGCGGGGGGGTGGTTCGGGAGGGGGGGGGGCTACGGGGGAGGGGAGTCCCCCTGGTTCTGCTCGACGGCGCCGAGTGCTGGAGGGGGGGAGGGCCCACCCTCCAGTTCGAAACGCGCCGCCGAGTGTTCCCAAGGCAAGCGCCCGTGAAAGGCGCTCTCTCTTCGACTTCAAGGAGGGGTTCGGGCGACAGGGGGGGCGCTCCCGAGGTACTGGCCGTTTGTCACCAAGATCCAGGAGGCGCCCCGCCCCCCCGCGCAGGGCCTCCCGCGCCCCTGCCCGCCGGGGGAAGACGCGGGGGGCGGCGCGCAAGCAGGCCCTCCCGCCGGGGCCCCCCCGCCCTCCCAGGGGCCCACCTCGCAGAGGCGACGAGAAGGGCGACTCGCCCAGGGGCGGGCATTGCACGTATTCGCCCGGGAGCCTTTTCGAAGACACAGATCATCGGCGCACCTGAATACATGTATTGCTCTCCCCTGGGCTATTCGCCCCTATCGTCGCCTCTGGCCACCTGTCGATCCGATCGACTCGACTCGATGCAGTGGGGGCCCATGCCAGGAGACGCCCCTGCTTGCCTCCATGGTGCCCCAGGTTTCCCGGGTTTCGACGGTTCTGCGATGGAGAGCGTGACGCTCCCGCGCCCAGAATCGATGTGTACGTCCTGGGGTCTCGGGGTTGGGTTTCTCGTGGAAGGTTTCTTGTGGACTGGCCTTTATGGTATTCCGATCTTCCGACGTTTCAACGCGAATCGATTCTGGCCGGCCCTGTCCCGTTCGATCCCGGTATTCGACGACAGGTCGCGGCTCGGTAGACGCACGGTGTTGCTGTGCACCTTGGCGCAGCCGATATGATTTGATTCCGACTCTGTGCCGATGCGGCCCGATCCGACGCACATTTTGATTCGATCCCTTCGCCCTGGCTGGGGGACGATTTTTTGTTTCCACCCGCCAAAGTGATCGCAGAAGGGCGTCTCGACAGGAACGGTTGTTCTGATGAGGAAGCATTTCGATAGGAGTCGCTCTTTCTGACGCTTCGTGTGCCCACTGCCCACGAGAAATCTTCCAGGGGCTACACACATTACATCGGTACGTCGGTCGTGTACGCCTAAGTATGCATATGTGCACGTTACAGGAACGGTTGTTCTGATGAGGAAGCATTTCGATAGGAGTCGCTCTTTCTGACGCTTCGTGTGCCCACTGCCCACGCGAAATCTTCCAGGGGCTACACACATTACATCGGTACGTCGGTCGTGTACGCCTAAGTCTGCATATGTGCACGTTTGTGTGTGTGTGTGTGTGTCAAGTACATATACCTGATGGCCTTCGGCTCATCCCGCCACCGTGCCTGGGTTTTGGGTCATAGTTCTCAGTTATGCTTCTTGGAGTCTCTTCGGAGCGCTCTCGGGGGCCTCTTATGGGGTAGTTTTGGCGTCTCCTGGGAGCCTCTTGGGAGCCTTTTGGAGGCCTCTTGGGGCCTCGTGGGGCCATCTGGGGGCCTCTTGGGGCCTCTTGGGGGACTCTTGGGGACCGCTCGGGGCCTTCTGGGGGCCCCTCGGGGCCGAGGGCTCGAGATGTTTTTCGTGCCCCCCATCTGGCCCCCTCTCTTGGAGCCGTCATGGGGGCCTCTTGGGCCGTCGTGGGCGACTCTTTGGACGTCTTGAGGCCCTCTTGGGCCGGTTTGGAGCCCTCTTGGAGGCCTCTTGGACCGTCTTGGCTTGGGGCGACCTTGGGGGCCTAGGGCCGTCTGGGAGCGTCGGGAAGCCGAACAGACGAGAACGCCGAACAACTTTTGAAAACCCGTAGGACAATCAATGTTGCTGGCCTCTTGGGGCCCTCTTGGGAGGCTTCTTGGAGGCCTCCTGGGGCGTCTAGGAGGCCTTTTGCGCCGTCTGGAGACCTTCTTGGGCTTCTCGGAGCGATCGTTCGGCGACTGGGGGCCTCCTGGACCGTCTTGGAGCCTCCTGGAGCCCTCCTTGGCCCGTCTTGGGGCCCTCTTGGGCCCGAAGCAAATCAGTCATGCGGGAAGCCGTCCCGGAGAGTCCAGGGGGCGCGCGGCACGCCCGAGGAGGTTTGGAGGTGGCGTGTGTGACTGTGTGTGACTGTGTGTGTGTGTGTGTTGCTCTTTCTTCGCTTCTTCCCCGCTTCGCCTCGTGTTCCGCTTTCTTTCGTTCCCTCTTCGTGCCACAGAATTTAGGCCGTTGCTTGTTAGCCGCGTTTCTTGACGGCGCCTGGCACCCCTGCGCGCTCGCGAACAAAAAGTATGTGTGTGTGTGTGTGCAGCCCCCCCCAGCACCCATTCATTTTGCGTCGGTCTTGTAGCTCATCGTTCGTAGTCTTACTGATCATCTGCCCTCTTTTCATCCGTGCCTGCTCATCCATCTTTCCTGTTCGTCGTTTCTCCGCTGTTTGATTGTGCTGGGAACTACTGGGGGTCAGCCGGATCTGGGATCTGCGCCATTCTAGTTGTATTCTACTTCGATTTTGAGAGGAATCGAAGTGGAGGAATCGAAGTGGAATCAGCTAGACCTGGGATCCGCTCCACCCAATTTCGATTCTGATTTAATCCCAACAGGAATCCATTTGGAACCAGCCGGATCTGGGATCTGTTCAGTTCCAATCCGTTTTGAATTTTGATTCCAATTGTAATCCAATTCGAATTCGAATTCCATGCCCTTCGAATCAGAGTTTAATCCGATTTCAATAGGAGTCCTATTGGTAACAGCTGTATCTAGGATCTGCTCAATTCCAATTCGATGCGAATCCGATTCCAATGGGAGTCACATTGGAATCGACTGGATCTGAGATCTTCTCCATCCCATTAAGATTCTAATTGGATTTCAATCGGAATCTATTTGGAATCAGCTGGATCTGTGATCTGCTCACTTCTGATTAGGTTCCCCGATCAATTACAATAGGAAGCCCAAGTGGACTCAACTGGATTTGAGATGTCCAAGTAAATTCTAAGTAGGCCCCACTTAGGAATGAAGTACTGTAGCATCCTGCAATTGCGGATAAGAGTGAGGGGGCGGGCGCGGGCGACGCGGGCGTTGTCGAGCCGGCGGACCTCGTGGTCCCCACCTTCCTTGTCGATGTCGCTCTCCTCTTCCTCCTCCTCCTCCTCCTACTCTTCCTCCTCCTCCTCCTCTTCCTCGTCCTCGTCCTCATCGTCATCGTCATCCTCCTCCCCCACCTCGTCCTTGTCCTCCTCTTCTTCCTCGTCCTCCCTCTCCACCCCTCGTCCTTTCATCATCGTCCTCCCATTGTCGTCCTCCCCCTCATCGGCCTCCATCATCGTCCTCCCATTGTCGTCCATCATCATCATCATCATCATCATCATCATCATCATCATCATCATCATCATCATCATCATCATCATCATCATCATCATCATCATCATCATCATCATCATCATCATCATCCTCCCCCTCGTCCTCCTCCTCCCCCTCCTCTCCCTCCTCCCCCTCCTCGTCCTCCTGCTCCTCCTCCTTTTATTTTTCCACAGTCTCATTACATCCTCTCTTCTCCCGCGTTCTCCTCGTCCCTTGTTTACTCCTCATGCCTCCTCTTTTCCCAAGAGAACTGCAACGCAATATTCTGTTCCACTTTATGCTCCCCGCCTTCCCTGATCAAGGCTAATCGCCAGTGCAAAGTTGCTGGACGGGCTGGTGTGGATGCGCGGGGCTTGAAGAGGTTTTTGCGGGCTCAGACGGCATACAAAAATCTGCCGCCGCGCTGGTGCGGCATTGGTTTGTTCAGTGAACGTGGTTTAAGTCGCGGGTGGGTCGCGGGCTCTCCACCTCCACCTGGAAGGAATGCAAAAGCAGCCCGCCGCAGGCGCCAAAAAAATGGTTTGTACACTGAACGTGGTTTGGGTCGCGGGTGGGCCGCGGGTTCTCCACCGGGAACGAATGCAAAAGATGCCCGCCGCAGGCGCCGAAAAATGTGGTTTGTACCCTGAACGTGGTCGCGGGTGGGCCGCGGGCTCTCCACCTGAAACGAATGCAAAAGATGCCCGCCGCAGGCGCCGAAAAATGTGGTTTGTACCCTGAACGTGGTTTGGGTCGCGGGTTGGTCGCGAGTTGGTCACGGGGTGGGTCGCGGGCTCTCCACCTGGAAGGATGCAAAAAAGCCCGCCGCAGGCGCCGAAAATGGTGGTTTGTACCTTGAACGTGGTTTGGGTCGAAGGTGGGTCGCGGGTGGGTCGCGGGGTGGTCGCGGGTGGGTCGCGGGTGGGTCGCGGGTGGGTCGCGGGTGGGTCGCGGGTGGGTCGCGGGGTGGGCCGCGGGCGGGTCGCGGGGTGGGTCGCGGGGTGGGTCGCGGGGTGGGTCGCGGGGTGGGTCGCGGGGTGGGTCGCGGGGTGGGTCGCGGGTGGGCCGCGGGTGGGTCGCGGGTGGGTCGCGGGGTGGGTCGCGGGTTGAGTCTCGGGTGGGTCGCGGGGCGGGTTGCGGGTGGAACGACGACAACAAACAACAACAAACAACAAACAAACAACAACAAAAACAACGATAATCCGCACCGCGGAATTCCACTTCAGCCACGCACCCAGGGACAGTGATTGACCGTTCGGCCCCCTTACTCTGATAATCAGCTGGATTTGGGATCTGCTTCATTTCAACTCGAGTCTAACAGTAATACCGCTGGAAGCAGCTGGGCCTGAGACCTGCTCAATCCAAATTCGTTCTTACTAGATCCCAATAGGAATCCAGTATGCATCCACTGGATCTGGGATCAGCTCCAGTGTGTCTTTCGGTTTTATTAGGTTCCCGTATGAATCGAAGTGGAATCACCGAATCCGGGATCTGCTCCACCCCAATAGATTTCAATTGTATTCCAATCATAATATAATTGTAGTCAGCTGGATCTTGAATCTGCCTCTCTCTCTGTCTCTCTCTGTCTCTGTCTGTCTGTCTGTCTGTCTGTCTGTCTGTCTGTCTGTCTGTCTGTCTCTCTCTCTCTTTTTTTTTTTCTCTCTCTCTCTCTCTCTCTTTCTCTCTCTCAGACACCCAACACAATCTCCATCAAAACACAACGTTTGCCAGGCCAGGGATGCGGACATCTTGTGATATGATTTGGATTTGTAGGATTTCTGGGATGAGAAGTGAGGAGACCATGTGTTTTCATTTGGTTTCTGGTATGTTTCGGTTTTTGCCTCCCTCCAGCGAAAATCAAAGCCAGGAATCCTTCAAGGAGCTCCGGCCCCCAGAATGACAACACATGGCATCCTCACTTCTCATTCTAGAAATTCCAAACATCCCTGTGAAAACACAAGGCTCGCGATGTCAGGAGTGCGGAAACCTTGTGTTTCATTTTGTTTATTTTTGGATTTCTGGGATGAGAACTGCGGAAACCATGTCTTGTTTGGTTGTTTTGACTTTTGGGGTTCTGGGGATTGGAGCTCCTGGGAGGGCTCCTGGGTTTGATTTTCGTTGGAGGGGGGAAAGTCAGTTAAATCCAATAACCCCAACAAAACCACATGGCTTCTTCACTTCTCATCCCAGAAATCCCCGAACATCCAAATGAAAGCACCGTGTTTTCGCACTCCTGGTGTCGTAAACCTTGTCTTATCATAGGCATGTTTGGGGTGTCTGGGATGGGAAGTGAGGAAGCCATGTGTTTTCATTTGGATTTTGTTTTGGGGGGCATTTTTGGAATTCTGGGGATCGGAGCTCCTGGGAGGGCTCCTGGGTTTGATATTCGCTGGGGGATTAAAAATCACCCAAATTAAAAAAAAACAAGGACAACACATGGTCCCCAAATGAAACATCCGAAATATCCAAATGAAAACACAAGGTTTCCGCACCCCTGACATGGGGCAAACCCTGTGTTTTCACAGGGATTGTGTTGAATGTCTGGGACGGAGAGATAGAGAGAGAGAGAGAAAATAGTATCAAGCAAGGAGAGAGAGAGAGAGAGAGAGAGGTAAAAAGAGAGAGAGAGAGGGAGACACACACAGAGACAGAGAAAGGGAGAATGAGAGAGAGAGAGGAGAGAGAGAGAGAGAGAGAGAGAGAGAGATAGAGGAGAGAGAGAGAGAGAGAGAGAGAGAGAGAGAGAGAGAGAGAAAGAGAGAGAGAGAGAGAGAGAAAGAAAAAGACGATGAGGAGGATGAGGAGGAGGAAAGGAAGGGAACCACCGTCGTACGTGAATGCTGGTAAGAATGGGTGCTGGGGGGCTGTCCATGTATCTAGATATAGATTTACATATTTTTAAAGTGTATATGTGTATGTATATGTATGTACACAATAAAATAATTATGGTACCGGTGTCCAGGTTTTCTTTGCATTCCGTGTAATCTTCAGAGCGTAAAAACCTTACAAGAACACTTACTACAGGCGTTCATCGGCGGCAAGCCCAGGAGAAGTGAGAAGAGGCGAGCCTTCTCAGAAGGTTCGCGGAGATCCCCTGGCCTTCCGAGAAGTTTTCTAAGCCTTCCCCGAAGACGCAAACACCTCTGAGAAGGCCGGAGGCCTTCTGAGAAGCCCCGCCGCCTTCTGAGAAGGCCTTCTCCCTCTCACTTCCCCCCCTTGCTCGCCGCCGAGTTCAATATTTCAGAGAGCGCAGGTACCGGGGGCGCGTCGGATACTAGGGCGGAGACATCGCCTGTGCATCTTGACGCGGTCGCAGGCACCGCAGACATTGTTTTTGACAGGCGCAGGCTTGCCAACCCGTCTGGCGTTATGAAATTATCAAGTTTGGCTGCCGCGAATCTACCAGCAACCGCGCTTGCTAGAGAGGCCTCGCGAGGCTGCAGTGCGGCAAGGCATGCACTGAGTTGTGCGACGCACCGACTGCACCACACTGGTTGAATCACCCCCGTGGCACCCCACATGTTGCACCACAGAGATTGCGGCCGCTTCGGAACGCGCCGTTGAAGTGTACAGTGAAGGGGCGTCAAAATGAAAAGCAGTTCGAGCCAGTGAAAGGCCGGCAGGGTTTCGATCCCCTCACCAGACCTCTCGGTGGCCTTTTGGGAGTCCCTTGGGGCCTCTTGGGGCTTCCTGGGGGCCTTTTGGGGCGGAAGGCTGGAATCGTCCGTTAGTGTTCCCGTTCTTGGGCCCCTCTTGGGGCCGTCCTGGAGCCCTCATGGGGCGTCTTGGGCGCCTCGTGGGCCGTCTTGCGGCACCCTTGGGCCGTCTTGAGCCTTCTTGCGGCCTTCTGGGTTGTCTTGGGGCGGTCTTGGGAGACTCTCGGCCCGTCTTGGAGCGTTGGCAGCTCGAAAAGGCGAGAACCCCAAACACATTTAAAAACCCTAGGGAAATCAATGCCTTTGTTTCGTTGGGGCCCTCATGAGGTCCTCTCGGAGCGCTCTTGGGGCCTCCCGAGGGCCTCGTGGTTCGTCTTAGGGCCATTTTGGGTGTGTAAGAGCTCTCTCGGGGCGTCTTGGCGGCTTCGGCGGCGTTGCCGATCCCCCCCTTCCCCCTTCACTGGCCAAGCCGCCCTGGCACCCTTCCTCCTGCCTGCGGCGCGGGAGCGGCCCCCGAAACTGCTGACCGCTCCGGCCCCCCCCCTAGCAGAACCGAAGCTCAGCCTGTGGCTTTTTAAGCTCACACGCATGATCTGCGGATTTCCGCGCTGGGGTCACACGTGTGCATACATCAGATGGTTGGAAGTCACGTGGTGCACGAAATGTCCACCGAACGAATGCTGATTGCACATCTGTTCATACAGCATGTTGCATCGTGCGCTGTTGGTATAAGACATGTCTACAACTCAAAAGGGAACATTGGAACCCGCTTGTATTCTCGGTTGAGTGAGAGTGGTCGGATGGACAGTCGGGCGACTGTCGGGCCTGCAATGCCAGCATGTCGGACTCGTCGAAGGAGGTCTTCGGATCGACGATGGTCCTCATCGCGATGATCTTGATCTTGGGTGGTCATATCAGCCACACTCCTGTAGTCAGATACTCCATCAAGAATGAAGGTGCCGTGCCGCCTTTTGTGAGGCTGTCGATCATCACTTCCGTCCGAAAGTAACCAGATAACCGTTCCTCTTCCACTGGGCAATTTTGTAGCTCCGTGGCACGATTGCGTGGAATCCGCACAATCGGTGCACTGAAATCTCCATCATGCCGATCGCCTTGTGCTGCTTCTCGCCACAAGTGACGAACTCACTCAACCGTAGGGCGCAGTCTGGTCTGCTTTATTGCCGACGCTTGACTCCGCAAGACCAGCGGAGTGTGAGATCTTCTTGGACGTGCCTGGTGCCAACGTTAGCGTATGTCAATCACCCCCAAGCTTGCGTGCGTCATCTGAATGTACTGCATCTCGCTTGCCAGCCTTCACGTGATCCATGTGATCCTCCATGAGGTGCACCGCGCTGCCCTCCTGAGGATCCGGCGTCTCAGTGTTGGCATGGCTGGCGCCATCAAATGAGACAAACCTTACAGGGTATGCCAGAGAAGTGATGTGTTGGAGGACCAAGCCTGCCTGCATCTAGAAGGCCAACATCTGGGGCCGATGCCGCATACTGTTATAGCGTCCTAGCCGACAGTGTCTATGGACACATTGAGTGCCGTGACGTCCATACACACTTTCGGGGTGGATACGTCTATGGACAACGTGGCCATTGCGTTCGGCGCGGTGTAAACTCGGAGAAAGGGCAGATCCGTCTACGGTATGCTCCTGTTCTAGAGCAGGTCCCACATGGTACTCCAAGTGATGTGTTTGTGGGCCGTCTGCTTGCTCTTCTGCGCCCTGTCGATGATGCGGTTCGCTGGCTTGGGTTGCCCGACTGTAGACCGCTGCGGCTGTTGCTGAATATGGGCACGTCCCAATCACAGCCACATCACATTGTAAATGGCCCTCCTCAGATCACGAGCCTGCGTCGCGCCACACCTCTTCTGGCTCTTGCCCTCAAGCGCCCATCCCTCCCTTCGCCTCCTCGAGCACCACTGCACTGACACCACACGACCAGGCCGATCAGCATGCCGACTCCGACTTCAATGGTGTTCTTCCTCACCCCTCTATCTCTCAACGTTTTGCGTGTCCCACATTGCATGGTGTCCAGATGCGCAGCGATGCTAGTTGATGAGCACGTTTCGATACTTCAGCAATTCGCAGCCCTTGCCCGTGTGCGTGACGGGTAGCTCGTGGCGCTCCATCTACCCGCACCGCTCCTCCGTCAGCTGCATGCTTGGACACAGCAGTGCCGACTTGGCCACCACTGTGATGTCGTTCAACGGGAGCAGACCGCACCGTCATGATACTTTCATCTCTGATCCCCTTGGAGCGCGCTCATCAACCGCGCTCCGAATCCCTTTGGGATCTTGGGTCGGCTTCACCCCAACATACTTCTACTATATGTGCGTCGCCGCCCCCCCCCCCCCGGGGGGGCGATGCGCGCACCGAGAAATCTTCTAGTATATGCGTCGTGGCGGGCGCTTTCTGGCCACCTACTGCAATAGGATATCCTACAAGATCGGTTAAACGCTCGGGAGACGATCTACTACAAGATGGTTATACCATATGTTCGGGTCGGACACGCGGATCCGAGGAGGACCGATAGTACTCGTATGTCCTCGTGCGTCCCATCGGGGAGCGCTGGGCTCGAGGCCGATGGCAAAAAGCACGGCCGCCTCCAGCGGGAGGAGCTCCCGGGCCCTCGCTCGGTCCCCCGCGCTTGCCCGCGCGCGCCCCCCCCCCTCGCAGGCGGGGTGCCCTCCCGCGGTGGCCTGGCCGCCCCTCCTCCCCCCGCCCCTGCCGGAGGCATTGTCCTGAAGCACGCATTGCCCTGAGTAGACCCCCGACGCGAGCAGCTTCTCATGCGAGGCCATGGCCTCACCCGCCTCGCCCTTAAGGGGCCCGGGCGCATGCCCGCACAGGCGTTCCGTGCCGTTCCGTTCCTCACCCTGCCCTTGCCAGAGGCGGCGAAGAGCGGCAGGCCGCCCAGCAGGCGGAGCGTCGGGCCCTCACCCGGTCCCGCGTTTGCCCGCGCGCGCGGCCCCCCCCCCCCCCCCCGTTCCTTGAGCTTCCAGAGTGCTAAAAAGTAGCCCTCCAGACCTCAAGACCTCTCTGGACCGCCTGAAAAACCTCGACAGGAGATCAGACGGCGAGGCCCCGATGCTGTTTTTTTTTTGGCCCTCCTGGAGGGTCGGGGCTGCCCGGCGCCCTCCCGCGGGGCCTGGTCGCCCCTCCTCCCCCCCGCCCCTGCCAGAGGCGGCGAAGACTGGCAAGCCCATCGAGGTGAGGCACGCGACGAAGAACATCAAGAGGACGCGTGCGGGCTCCGCGCCCCGGGCCGGGGGGCGGGGGCGCCCTCGGGTAGCCAGCCAGGGGAGCCTCGCGTGCCCTCGGAGTGCTGTCTTCGGCGTCGGTTCGCATCGACGAGCTTCTGGGAGTCGATGAGACAGCGCCGATTTGGCGTCGGCCAGCGTCGATTAGCGTCGATGCAGCGTCGATTAGCGTCGACTCGGCGTCGACCAGCGTCGATTCGCAAGAGCCGACAAGATGGTATGGGGTGCTCCCACGAGTTGCCACCGAAGGCGCTGGAAAGCCCACGCTAGCCAGTCGCTCGGAGCGAGCAGGGCGGGGAGGGCCTCCTGGCAGCGAGGCGGGGGAACGGGGGAGCTTTCAGACCAGTTTCGCCGATTCCTGGAGGTTTTCCTGCCTCGGGGTGCGCCCTCGCCGCTGCGCTTCGGAGGCTGTGTTCCTGCAGATGCCGCCCAGTTTGTTCGAGACGCTCCGCGTTCACCGCCCGCCCATTCCAGTCCTCACCGGAAGAGACGGAGACGGCGCCAAGACGGGACGGCAGTTTTTCGAAAAGGGTGACAGGCCCCCCACAGGTCCAAGGGGCGCCCTCAATTGAAGAAGGGACAACGCCATAAACATAAACTTGTTGGCGCTCCGCGCGGATTTCTAGGATTTGCGCTGGACCCCCTCCCTGGCGCGCGGAGCGCGCCAGGGGCGGCGCGGGAGGCGCCGCTAGGGGGCCCAGCGCGGATCCACGAAATCCGCGCGGAGCGCCGAAAGGTTAGTGTTTCTGGCGTTTTTTCCTCTTCTGCTCCGGGGCCGAAGAGGGCCTCGAGAAGGGCCCCAGCAGGGGAGCGAGGCTGCCCCGGCGGGCCGCTGGACGGCTCAGATGCGCGAGCGTCCCCTGTGGTGGGCCCGCGCCCCGCCTGCGCTTGCAGCGACATCGGGCCCAGGTCTGGGCCGGTCTCGGCTCCTTTTTGGGGGCTCCCGTCGGGCCCCCAGAACGTCGAAGGTTGATTCCGAAAGATCTCCAAATCGGAGACGAAGTTTGCAGTCAACCCCCATAGTCAGGATGGGCAACCTTCCCAAGGGTGCCCTTGCGTCCTTGTCTCCTCGGTCCATCCTTGGTCTCTTTCATTTGCTGCGCCCCGCTCGAAAAGCTTCGAAACGGCCTTTCAAGGCCCTTGCATCCTTGCCGCGCATCCTTATGATACGGGTTGACTGTGCATGCTGTAGAAGGCCCAGACGAGCCGGATCATCAACTATAAGCGACGACCGGGCGACCACCGGCGAGGCGAAAACCATCAGACACCGATGGAGTTTGCCATATTTTGAAGTTTTCAGTTCGTACGCGCAGCTGGTCCCGAGATGTGGTCTGGAAGGCCTCAGGAGATGGCTGTGGAGGCTCAGGAGGGGGCCCGCCCCCAAGGGGCCGAACTGGAGACAAAATGCGCCCCGAAAGCGCCGCCAGAAGGATTTTTTTAATCGAGCTCATTTGGGAAGCCGTCTTGAAGCCGTCTTGAGGCTCGAATAGGGTCGATGGCGTAGCCGGGCGGCGGAATGGCAGAGGCCTCTGGGGAGGGGGAAAAGGGGGGGCTAAAGCCGTGTAAGGAGCTCTCACGGTTAAGTCTCACACGCCCCTCAGCCCGATGGGCGGGCGGATTCAAGAGGCTTGCGCCATTCTTGAAGAGGGATAACATCTGCGGGTTAGACCTTTTCGGGCCTCTTGGGAAGCTTCTGAGGACCTCCTTTGGGCCTCTTGGGGGCCTCTTCGGGCCTCTTTGGAGTTTCTTGAGCGCCTGTTGGCGGTCTCGGGGGTCCTCTTGGGGCGGAGGGCTCGGAATGTCAGTTCGAGTTGCATCTCTTGGGCCCCTCTTGGGGCCCTGTTGGGGCTCTTTGGGGCCATCTTGGGCACCTCTTGGGCAGTCTTGGGACCCTTTTCGACCGTCTTCGGGCCCTCTTGGGGGCTTCTTGGACCGTCTTGGGGCGATCTTGGGGACCTCTTGAGCCGTCCTGGACGCTGTTAAGGCCATGCGAACCTGCTAAACATGCATGTTTTTCTCATGGCTTTGGACGGTTCGTGCTTCTTGGCACCCTCTCGGGGGTCGTCTTGGAGGCCTCCTGGGGCGTCTTTGAGGCCTCTTGGGCAGTCTTGGAGGCCACCCTGGCTGTCGCTGAGGACCCCTCGGCGTGTTGGCGCCCAGCTTGAGCCAGCTCGGATGGCAGCTTGGGCATCCCACAGGCCACGGGGCGTAGATTTGGAGGCTCCCGAGACCCCGGGGGTGCGTTGGCGAGCTCGTCCCCCCGTCCCCCCCGGGGCCCTCCCCGCAGGCCCGCCCCCCTCCTCGACTGGACGTAAGAGTGACCTTTCGCCGGAGTGACCTTATGGTGCGGGCACAGATGGGTCCCCAGGTGGCTGAAAACGGAGCAGGAGCAGCGGCTTGCGCGCCCAGGTTTGGTCCCCCCGCGGCCCACAAGAAGCCGCGCACCAAAGGTCACTCCTGCCCAGGGTCACTCTTGCGTGTAGCCGACCTCCGCCCCCCCGTTCCTCCTCCCGATCGGATCTCAGGCCCCGGGGGAGGGGGACATGGGGGGAGGGGGACAGCCCATCGTCTCACCGCGCCTCTGCACCCCTGGCAAGCGGGGGTCGCCGGACTAGCGTCGGAGGGAGTGGGGGGGCGTGGCGAGGCCCGAAAGTAAGTCGGAATTTCACACAGGTCGGGACTCCCTTGCACGCCCCACCGCTGTTTGAAAAGACGGCGGAGGGGAGGGGGCCACATGCCATGCAAGGATACTTGCTCGATCCTTAGGGACAGCGCCCTCTCTCGCCGAGGGCGTCCTGGGGGTGCCTGGATATCGTCCCGAAGGGCCGCCCGAGATCCGAATCATTCCCCGGAGGCCGAGTTCATGGCCCCTTGCCGTCCGACCGCATCGATTCCGGCCGCCCTGGTCACATTCGATTCCGGTATTCCGACGACTAAGGTGCGGCCCAGTGCACGCACGGCGCTGCTGCGCCCTGACGCGGCCGATCCGCTTCGATTTCGAGTCCGTGCCGATGAGGCCCGATCCGACGCACGCTGGGAGCCAGGGCTTTGATCAGAACCACCGCCGGGGGAATCCTCCTCCTTCTCCTCCTCCGCAGCCATCTTGGCTCTGGCCCGTCTCCCCTGTGTGCGGCGCGCCGCCCCCTCGTGCCATGGCGGCTGCCCGGGCGGCGGGGAGCGACGGCTGCGGGGGGCTGCCAGCCACATGGCGGCCCAAGGCGCTGCGGCAGCAGGACCACGTGGAGCAGGGCCCCTCCGCGGCACGTCGGGCGGCCAGGCGGCGGCGCCTGGGAGCGCTGCCGCGCCGTGGCGGGCCCCTGCGCGCCGGGGTCATGGCAGGACCGCGAGCGCGCGGCCAGACCGGCCCTGGTGTCCGCGGTGAAGAGGCGGCGCGTGGCGGGTGCTTCCCGAAAGCGCCGCAGCGCGGCCCTTCACGCTGCCCTGGCCCCTCCGGGCGGTTTCCTCCGGGCGTCAGCCGAGGCGATCGCGGAGGTGGCGCAGGGCCACCGCCTGGGCTTCGAGTTCAAGGCGGTCGATGCCGAACAGTCCATCGGCTTCGAGGGCGGTTCGGCGGACAAGGCGGACATGGTTGCCGATAGCGGGGCCCTACTCGGCCCAGGGGGGGATTGCGACCTCGGGAGCGTGCAGGTCACCCACGTGGCCGAGCTCGAATCGAGGCTGCTGGGCATCGCGGACGCGGAGCCGCCCGTGGTGCCTCCCCCACCGGCCTGGGGCCTGGGGCACCGAGAAGGAGCTCAACGACGAGTCGGACGCCCCCGGCTCGGCGTGCGCGGTGGCGGCGGACGCCCCCGATTGGCTGGCGCCTGGCGTCTGGCTTGCGATGGATTTCGTGGCGGAGGCCGAGGCGTTCGCGGAGGGGCTCGCAGCTGGACGGCGCCTGGCTGGGCTGGTGGGGTGCAGGCCGACGTACACGGCGTGGGGCCCAGGTCATGCCGCTGGGGAGGATGTGGTCAATGTGGCCTCGGCGGTGGACCTGGACGAGCCGGTTTCGGAGCGCGTCAGCTCGGCATTTTTCTCCTTCGGCGACGTGACCACGAGTGACGTTGACGAGCCATTCGTGGAGGCGGAAGGGGTGCACTGTGACGTGGAGAGCGTCGTGACCGGTACGGCGGGCTTCGCCGTGCCCCCCAGCGGGGTGGTGGGCCTGCCGAGGGCCAGGAGGAAGAGTTCGAGGAGGAGCTCGAGGACCTCGAGGCCGTGCCTGAGGGGCGCAGGGTCTTCACCAGCCCGAGCCGCCTTGTCGTCGAGCAGTTCCTCAACATGCTGTTCTAGCGCCGCCGCGCGATGTGCGACTCGGTGTGTGCGGATGGCGAGCCAGCGGTTGGGCACCCCGAAGTCGGCGCGAGCTTGGAGGACGTCGTCCTCTTGAGCGAGGCCGAGGGCATCGCCCTCGAGTCCGTGTACGACTTCATTGGGAACGCCCGCTTCCGGCTGGCCTACTTCGTCGAGGGCGTGCACCTTTTCCGGGTGGAGGGCGGGGTCGGCGACTCCTGAGTGGCCAGCTTCTCGCTGGATCAGCCTTGGGATCCCGGCTGGCGGCCCTGTCGGCGTGCTTTGGGGGGGTGGCGCCGCGGACTGGGGCTCGCGCAGGAGCACGAACCCGAGTCCCCTCCCTGGGGGGCGGCCTCTGGGGGCCGTCTGGTTGTCCGTCCGTCCCCGCGGGGGTGGCTTCCGTTCCCCTGCCCTGCCCTTGCGGTAGGCCAGGGTCGCGACGGATGCCTGTCTTGGCTTGTTCGGGGCCCCCCCATCGTCGCCACGTCCAGCCGCGCCGCGCTCGCGGCGGCGAGGGACCCACCGAGCGAGGTACTTCTGGCGGCCCTGGCAGTCGTGAGTTTGACTCACTCCTGCTGGGGCTTCCGTGGAAGCTGCGCCCGCCCACCTCCTCCTCCTCCTCCTCCTCCTCCTCCTCCTCCTCCACCTCCACCTCCACCTCCACCTCCACCTCCACCTCCTTCTCCTCCCTCTCCCTCCTCCTCCTCCTCCTCCTCCTCCTCCTCCTCCTCTTCCTCTTCCTCATTCTCCCCCTCCTCCTCCTCCTCCCTCCTCCACCTCCTCCTCCTCCTCCTCCTCCTCCTCCACCTCCTCGTTCTTCTCCTCCTCCTCTTCCTCCTCCTCCTCCTTCCCCTCCCTCGTCCCCCTCTTCCTTCCCCTCCTCCTCCTCCTCCTCCTCGTAGCCGTTCTGGCTCAGGCCTGTGGAGGTGCTGAGCTTGCAAACGCGTACTTCAGAGCGGCTCGTGCTCGCGAGCCGTGGGTAATCTTTCACGCTCGCCCCAGCCGCTGCAGTCAGCGGCGCATGGGGCCACCGCCTGATGTCCTGGCAGGCGCGAAGACGCCCCTATGGGGGTGCCCGCATTGTGGATGCTGGGACAATTGGGCGAGTCGTATCAAGTGCAGGGCCTGCGGTGGAGCGGCGCCGAACAAGGTTGTGCAGGCAGCTAAGAGGGCAGCAGCAACAGCAGCCCCGCCCTCCAAGAGCAGCCAGCGCAAGCCGGGTGGTGCATGGGCGAACGGGCCGCCTCATTCCGCAGGCGCGGGTGAGTCAGGCGCAGGCTCTGCCCAGGCGAAGCTCATCAAGGACCTGCAATCGAAGGTGGCGATGCTGGAGGGGAGCAGGCCGCCATGGAAGTCATCTACGCAGCAGTCCAATTGCAAGGAGCTCACCCGCGCTGATGTGGTGCAGCTCCTCAAGCGAGAAGGCCTGGATGCGTCAGTGGTGGAATAAACTGAGAAGAAGGCACAGATGGCTACGACGCCGAAGGCCCCTTCGGCGCGAACCCAGAGGTGGAAGGTGGGCAACCTGCGCACCAAGCTGAGCAAGCTGGAGTCGAGGGCCACGGCGCTTCGCCTGCAGCGCGAGGAGTTGGACAAGGAGCGCAACGAGATCTCCTCCAACGTCGAGACGCTCAAGGGCGAGCTCGGCTCCGCGGAGACGGTGCTCTTCCGTCTTCAGGCCGAGGAGAGCGCAGACCCGCTCAAGGCCATCTCGGCGGCCCTCGACGACAACGTGGCCCAGTCGTCGGAGGGGGCAGCCGCCCTGGCCGCCCTCCAGCGGCTCAACGCCGCGGCCTTGGAGGCCAAGCGCGCTGCGCAGCAGGCCGCTGCAGATTCTGCTGCTACTGCTGGTTCTGCTGGCGGCGCCGGTGGAGGGGCTGGCGGCGCGGCCTCCGCAGATGGCGAGCACGCCGCAGCAGGTGACGATGACATCGGCGTGGGACTCCTTGGAGGCGAGGGCTACGAGCAGAAGCAGAAGGAGTTCGCTGATGCAGCGGGGCGCCTGCGCCAGGCTACGCAAGAGGACCAAGCGGAAGCCGAGCGCAAGTGCATTGAGGCCGCTGCCGCCCTTGGCATTCGAGTCAAAAAGCCAAGGGCTGGGTGGCCTCAACCAGTCCGCGGCGGCAGCGATGGCCCCAGTGACCAGTGCGCTGAGCTTGTTTCTGGGAAGCAGCATGGTCGATGCCGATTGGGAAGAGGTCACGGGCTTCTCCGTGCCAGTCCCTCGCGGCGACCTGCTGTTCGACTCGATGCTCTTCCGCCAGCGCGATGGGAGCAGAGTTGAGCTGGGCGAGTCGGAGTGGCCGCAGTTGGGCGCATCGAGGGCGGCTTCGGGGAGCGGAGCCCTGGGCGAGGGGGGGGGGATCCAGCCCCTCGGCGTCCAACCCCAATTGCCCGCGTCGGCGCGAGGTTCGTTGTCGAGGACTGGGCCATCCGCGTCGACTGGTGCACTCGCGGCCCCTGGGGGGCCGCAGAGGTCGCCACGCGGAGCTGCTGGGCGTATTCCCCAACTGGCCCGCTTCTCGGGGTTGGGGGCAGGGGCGAGCCTGGGGGCGAGATCGGCGACATGCGAGGCGGCTCCTTCACATCGTCGGCGGCATGCTGTCCTCCGATGACGGCGACGATTGGGTCTTCGTGTGGCGTTAGGACGCAAAGTCCAGGCGGAGGGGGTCGAGGGCCCCGCCGTCAGGCTACGTCGCCCCCTGCGCTTCCCTCCCCCAGGGCACCCCTTCCACAGGGGGCGGGGGGGCCAGCGCGCGGGGTCGGGGGGCAGGGTGTTTTGCGGACGCAGCCGACGTTTGCAGCTGTCAAAGGAGACTCTGTGCACAAGCTCACCGTCGACAGCGAGGACTGCGAGACGGTCGTTGCGACTGAGGGCCCCAGCCGACCGAGAGCCAGGGGCCCTCGCGATCTTCGGGGTCAATGCCAACAGCTGGGAGACCTTCAAGCTGGTGGTGGACTGGTGCCAAGATCGGGGGCCAGAGTTGTTCGGCTTGAAGCGACCTGCCGGCGGGGGAGTGCAGCCGCATGTGATCTGCAATCGCGAGACACGGCTGAAGACAGACGAGAAGCTCCAGCAGGTTTACCAGTGGGGTCTGCAACACCAGTTCGACTTGAGCCTAGGGAAGGCTACTTCGACAGGCGAAGGGGCTAACGTGAGCTCGGCAGGTGTGGCTCTAGGAGTGGCGCCCTCCATCGTGTCCTCGGTGATCGAGACCGAGCTCTTTGAAGGCTTCAGCTCTCGTATTTCGGCGCGTCTTTTGAATGTGGGGCTCCCGTCAGGCCCAGTTGTTATCGCAGTCTACTTCTACGCCAGTCTCGGATTCACAGGGGATAACCTGATGCTTCTGGATGTCCCGGGGCAGTATGTCTGCAAGATCCAGTGTCTAGGGTTAATGCAGGCCGACTGACATCTTACGCTCCACGAGCTGGCGGCCAGTGGATGGCTCGAGCGGGTAGGCGGTTCGATGTTCACCCCGGGTCAGCCAACTTGCAGGCTCGTTGCTGCGGTAGGCGGCGGCGACGCTGCTCCAGTTCGCGGGGATGCAGGAGATGGGTGGGGGTGGGGGGTGGGGTGGGGGTGGGGGTGGGGGTGGGGGTGGGGGGGGTGGGGGTGGGGTGGGGGTGGGGTGGGTGGGGTGGGGTGGGGTGGGGTGGTGGTGTGTGTGTGTGTGTGTGTGTGTGTGTGTGTGTGTGTGTGTGTGTGTGTGTGTGTGTGTGTGTGTGTGTGTGTGCGTGTGTGTGCGTGTGTGTGTGTGTGTGTGTGTGTGTGTGTGTGTGTGGGGGTCATGGAGGGGCTCAAGGAGACAGAAAGGGGAAGGAGGCTCGGGAGCTGGACTTCCTTGTAGAGGTGCTCGTGCACTTGGCCATTGTGTTCGGGAAGTCAGATGCTTGCCTGATGCGCCTGTGCATCCACGCGTGCCTGTTGGGCTCATCGTAGAGGGCCTCTCCCCCACCAGGCCCATCACACAAAGCAGGTGCACTTCAAACGTTTCCCGCTGGAGCCATGTATGCCCCCCCCGAAGATTCCAGGGAGAAGAGGGGTGGTCTTGGGATCCAGGAGGCCTCCACGTGGGCTCGCTGCAGGAAAAGATCAAAGGGTGGTTCGCCCTCTCCGATAACTGGCTCGTCGACCTTTTCGATATCGATGTCGCCTCCAGGGATGCGTACTGTGGGAGGGCCGCGGGGCCCAAGACGGCCAAGGCCCCCCTGGAAACGATTTGGGCCCGAGAGGCTCGCCCGAGGTATTCGGAACGTACTGCTTCTTGGATGTCGTCTCAGGCGCTTGCTAAGAGGGCCCTCGCCCTGTCAGGGGGCAACTTGGGGAACCCAGGCAAGGCCGAGCTCGAGGAGTGGCCCGCTAGGCTGAAAGGGGCATGGCCCCGATCTTAGACTGCAGCTCCGCCCACGAGGTGGGCCAACCGTTCGTGCTAGACTTGGTTTCAGCAGTCGGGTCGGCTCGCGAGGACGTAGAGAGGCAGTTTGAGCAGCTAAACACGCATGTCGACTCGTTGAGGGGCCAGGACTCGAAGGACTCGCTCGCCCGATGGGAGACCTGGGCTTCGGAATCGGTGCAGAAGGGGGGGGGGGGGGGGGGGGGGGGGGGTGGGGGTGGCGTGCTGCTCGCGCTTTCTCTCGGAAGTCGCTGACCGACAGCAGCTGCCAGTTTTCTGTCCCCGTCGACGAGGTCGACCTCCTGTTGAACGGGGGTGAGGCCGTCCATGGATGGCGCTCTGGTACCAGGACAGGAGGAAGGGTCAGGATCGCCCGTCAACGTGGGACGTAAGGGGGGACGCCTTGCCGCCAATAGAGCTGGACCAGCTCTTGCACGCGTGCCGCGGGCATGCCGAAGGCGCAGGTCTCGGATGGGGCGCCTTCTACCCCAAGCTGGCCCTGCTGCTCCCCCAGCGCTATCACGAAGGGACCCTCGACATCCTCCATGGGTTCGAAGAGGCCACTGGAGTGCTCTCAGATCTTCTCACAAACATCGTCTTCCTGGATAAACCCGATGGTGGGGTTCGGCCGATAGGATTGATTTGCT